TAATCGGAAAAGGACGCTTACCAGTCGGTTGTCTTGGGTTAAGAGCACGGCGACGCCAGCGTCAACCTTGCCGACAGTCAAGGAGACCAACATGTTGGGCGGAGAGGAGAGAAGACGGAGCGCGTTGACAGGCGCATACAATAGATAGACCGAGGAGGAGGTGAGGGCGGGGGAGAGAGGAAGACAAACAGCGGTGGTGGTGGTTACGGAGATGGTGATGATTGAGTTGTTGTTGTCGGCGGATCGTCAAATGCCAAGGGGAAAGGGCCGCGTGTTATGCGGTCCACCAGGTACGGAGTACATGCTTCGATCCTCATCTTCTGCCACAACCCTGTGAGGATTTTCAGGTCAGATGTGTTCTAATTATATTACAATTACATTCTATATATATCCTGATCTAGTAGTGTACATCTAATTGTCATGATTTATCCCCTTTGTGGTTGCTGGGGGCGGTGAGTTTCTTCTCCATCAGACTATTCAAAAGACTGTGCATGTCCGATTGCACTGCGGAGTGACTCTCCAAAATACTCTGGGGGTGCACGATGATCTCCAAGGATCCAGTGAGATTGTCTTCTTTCCCCTCAGGCGCATTCTGGTGTGTATCATTCCCGGATTCTGGCTGGAGTCTTCTCCCCTCAGCATCGAACCCACGTTCTTTGAGCGCCTGTCGGAAAGCGATCTTAACCCTGCGCGCACTCCATGATCGAACCACCCGCTTGTAGCCTTGAATCTGTTTTATGGAAACTCGCCACCAAAGCGTGTCCCGATCCCGGTTGGCGTAGAGGTGGTGAATCTTAGGTCGGATAGGGTGAATATGGGATCCTAGATAGCGGGCCGCAACAGGAGGAATGACATGTTTCTGGACATATCGCAGGGTGAATTGCTTCGTAGATGCAATTATCTTCATCTCCAGATAGGAAGGGAGAGAGTGTTATGGTGGGATGTTTGCTGGCATGAGCGCTGGGAGCGTTCAATGACACATTGTTCAGACGAAGTCGCCACTGGACCAGGGAGGGATAACCAGCCAATAGGCGTGAAATAGCCGTTTCGCCCACGTAAAGGTCAAGGAGAAATGAGAAAGAATCGAATAGGATCGAATGAATAAAAGGTGAGAATGTGCGTGAAGGAAACTCGATGAGATGATTTTCTGCCGCCAGAAGCCGACCAGCCAGAGGCGGTGACTGTCTACACCCGGCGATTGGCGGACCCCTGTGGCGAGCCTAAGGCTGCCCTCAGGCCGCCACGCCACCGTGACTTCCCCCACTATTCTCAGAGTTGTTATATGTGAAATTGCTTCCCGTCTCTTCCTCATCCTTTCCCCCACCTACTCCCTCTTCGTCCCCCGGACATTTCCAATCTCATCCCATCCCAGTTTCTCATCGAGAGGGACGGAACCAACAGAAAGAGGTTTCTACGTGGGTTGTGAGCTTTCACCATGCCCAAGAATAAGGGAAAGGTAAGATTCTGATTTTTCTCCTGCCCAACAACACAAGAGATCATCTATCGGAAACTCTCCCAACTCCCCTGTTTTTGACTGGAGTTGCCGTCGTGATTTCAGATCCACCATGGTGTATCTGAAGTCATGAAGGCGGTCATGAAAATCATCACAGGATGCAGTAGGGCGGGGTAGTTTCTCAAAATTCTTCATCCCGTGCACCGGAGAAAAAGAACAAAACTAACTAGTCTGAATAGGGCGGTAAGAACCGTCGTCGTGGAAAGAACGAAAACGACAACGAGAAGCGTGAACTCGTGTTCAAGGAGGAAGGCCAGGAGTATGCGCAGGTCGTGAAGATGCTCGGTAATGGCCGTCTCGAGGCTCTGTGCTTCGACGGCGAGAAGCGTCTCGCACACATCCGTGGCAAGCTGCGCAAGAAGGTCTGGATCAACCAGGGTGACATCATTCTTCTCTCGCTGCGTGACTACCAAGACGAAAAGGGCGACGTGATCATGAAGTACACCGCCGACGAGGCCAGAAGTCTCAAGGCCTACGGCGAGCTGCCCGAGCACGCTAAGATCAACGAAACCGACACCTACGGTCACGAGGGTTTCGAGGACAACGTCGAGTTCGACGAGGACCGCGAGAGCGAAGAAGAGAAGGATGTCAACATCGACGACCTCTAAACTCCTCCCCCCAACTATCTCCCTCCTTTGGCCATTCAGCCCCTGGCGAACGGGAATTCTTCGCCAACCTACTTTCTTCCATCTTCTTCCCGGGAGATCCGGCAGGCTTCCTTTCTCGTTGCCACTCCTTCCTTTCGGCGTTGCACAGAGGAAGTTTGGCGCTCTCGGCTGCCATCCGGTTCCTGGGAAGGTTGATGAGGGAGAATTTCAGGGCTGCGGTGCCCCTCCCCCCTCCACGCTTCTGACAGAGGGGGATTCGAATATCGCTACACAGCATTGCGCCCAACGCTAGGGTATGAATGATCGGCAGGGAAACCCGACAGGATGGAATCGGATTAGGCGGATTGGTGACCCAGGCGATCTTCTCTTTCACGCTTCCATGAGGAGTACTTCTAGGGACCCCGCAGAGAATTGCTTGCGATGCATCTATCGTTTCATGATACCAGCCATGCGCTGTGTTTTTCGTGTGGGCAGTTCTTTCGTCTGCTCCGTTCTTGCCTGTTGCTTTTTTCGTTGCTTTTTCTTTTCAAAACTGGATGATAGATTTATGAAAGGCTACGAGAATCAAAAACTTTGAAACTGCTTTATTTACCTATATAGTATCATTGTAGTCATCATCAAGTATCTCTTTCATACATGCACTATCGAGTCTCAGCATCGAACACGCTTTTTCGAAAGAAGCCCACAATCTTTCGTGCCGTCTCCTTGCCCACTAATGGATCGAGCTGTTCAACATCCATATTAGCAATTTCGCTGATATTGCCTGTTTCAACCACGAGTCGGTCAAGAACAGCTGGTGTCACGCCTGGAACAGCACGGAGCATCTCCTGTGGGAGGGGATTAAAAGCGCGATGCTCGATCCCTGCGGCAGCCATGATGTTCCCGTCACTAGACGCCCCAACTTCAATATCCAGTCCGATCTGCACAGCCTGGAGAGGATCAGGCTCAGGATTGTTCTTCTTAAGCTCTGCAAAGATCTCTGCCGTCTGGTAGGGCGATGACGACCATATGATCTTCAAACGGGGGAACGTCAAGGTGAGAAGGACGAGCATGTGCTGCGCAGATTTTGGACTGGACGGGTTTACCAATGAACTGCTTGCAGACGTGGTTGCGGCACCAGACGAGGAGAATCCAAAGTCCGTCAGAGCCGTTGTCCCCGGGTTCGATGCAGACGCGAATGCGTCAAAGGTGAAGGACTTGTTCTGGTCGAATTCGATCAGCAGAAGCGGGTTCTTGTAATGCTGGAGCATTGTCTCAGCTTGGTTGTAGAGACGTCCGTTCCGGAGAGACGCTATCAAATCACGAACGGACTTGCGCTCCACACAAATATCCGGAGTAAGAATGTAGTCGCCAACTGTCAGCTGGCATGGAACGATTATCATGTTGTTGCCGTGCAGCAGAGATGGAAGCGCGCTTCTGAACTCGCGGACGTCGACGACGACACGCGGAGGAGATGCTGTGGCGGCCAGTCGGCCGCCTCCGGCGATGCGGGTGTTGACCGTTCGAAGGAACTGTTCTTGAGGGTCGACGGCGCTTTTGTCGTGTGTGATAGTTACAGCCATGTTCTGTTGGGTTGGGGTTAGATTTCCGGTCATGTAATGGATGACGGCGTGAGACCTACTCCCTTCTCTTTGATGAGTTTCGTGAACGAGTCTTTTTCCCGGCGTACAGCGCTCAAGTAGCGTTGTTCTTCGACAGATCCGCCGTAGTACATGAAGTACACGCGCACATTTCTTCCCACATGAGAGCTGCGGTATACCTCGACTCGCCGGATAAAGGAAGGCTCAGGCTCGTACATGATGATGTACCGCGGCCGCACTTCTTCCAGAATATGCTCGTCCATGTCACCGTCGTAAGGGTGTACCATCACAAGGTCATTCATATCATACAGCTCATAAAACTCTTCCATGTCCTCCAGATCGTCGATGATGATGTCCGCCTTTTGCGCTTCTTCGACCTCCGTGGGTTGCAGCTCATCCCGCAATTCGGCTACCTGGTCTGGTAGCTCGACATCTGTCTGCACGCTGGCATTAGGAACGCGCCCTGATGCCGACGAAACTGTTCCTCCACCCCGAACACGGCGCCGCTTGTTCGGAGGTGCTCTCGCCTGTTGATTCAAAGGAGCCGGCGAATTCCGGCCCTTCTCAGACTGGTTATCGCTAGCAGGAGGCGCGGCGGACAGGTTTTTATTGACGTTTGACAGGGAAGTCTTCCAGTCAAGGTACTCACGCAGGCGCCTGCGGAGCATTACCTCTGCAGAAGGTTTGATTTTGACATCTTCGTTGGCATCGTCATTTCCACCCCCTTCGTCGATTCTGGTATGCATTGTTGACAAGTATTCTCGGAGCTGCCGACAGGTCCGCTGATCAGCACACATGATCAACACGGTGCTATTCGACTCGTCTACATTGCTTGGGTTGAGGTATGCGTCCGTTTCAATCTCCTCCAGCACTTCGGCCAGGACTTCCCATTTGGGTTGCTCCTCCAGGACAGGCTGCAAGGTGGTAGGCAACGAAGTTGACGAGGATCGAGCTACATCGTTGCTGATTTTACCCTGGTATGCCCTGGACTTTGCCGTCTGAAAAAGAATGTGAGCTGCGTCGAGGAAAAGCCATGGGGAATAGTTGTGCCTTGTCGACCCAGGTGGCGGAGAGTGTGCCGTCACAATGGTATCAAGATACTTCACGAAGGAGACAGCGTCGTACGTAAGTAGCGCGCTAATGGATGGTTAGACATGATTCATCGGCATCTTCAACGTGATGGACTTACTGGAGGATCGCGCGGAGGTCAGACAAATCACTGACAATCTGCTTGGTCTTGAAGCTGAGACGGTGCCACATAGGCTCGAGTTGGCGCCGAACCGAGATATCGAAGCTTCTATGCAGCGCGCTATCGAGCGTCCAGTCCTCCATATCCAGCCCCGTGTTTGCTTTCTTCAGCTCTCCAATACATATCTCCACACATTCCAGAACAGCGTTCTGGATTTCTCGCATCTTATCGCTCATCGGGACTTCCAGCTCAATGACCTCGGCTTTTCGGTGGCCCTCAAGAGACTCCGCAACAGTGACGTGAAAGCGTGGCCATAAGGACGCCTTGCGAAGGAAGAGGTTCCGCAGGGAGTTGGCCAAAGGAGCGAATCCCGTGGTGAATGGCTCGGGAGAGTCGGAGAAGGCTTTGAGAAACCCTCGCTTGTTTTCTTGTCTGTAGACACGGATTATGAACGACTCGATTGATGTAGCGACGATTCTATTTCGGTCAGTATATTAATCTCAAGGACAGGGCGGAGAGATTACTTGTCGGCATGGAGAACGATCATTCCTGTGATCTTCTGGGGATCGAGGAGCCCTGATATAGTTCAGCACCCTGCATAAAAGAAGTAAATGAAAACGCAGACTGACTGGACAGGAGATCAACAACCAGAATTCTGGATGTCACACTCAGAATACCCCCCTCTGCATAAAGCGTTTCTCTTCAAAGTATTAGCACTGATCAGTCAGCTAGCTTCGAGCACATACCGTGCAGAAACCGTAGCTCTGTCTGTGTTGATCACCTTCAGGCCTCTCGCCAGAGGAGTTTTGCTGATGATGCAGTGCTCCGCTAGGGCTACGAAGGCTTAGTACGGACACCTCTACACTGATCCACAAGGACGTGCATACCTTCTCCAATCCACTCATTCTCCCGATCATCAGCCCCCACGACAAGAACCAGGTTGTTTCCGGCTGCATCGTAAAAATGCAGTAGATTCGTTATCAGACGGAGCAGCCCCAAGCCGCGCGCCAGAATAACTAGCTCATCCTCCGTGCGGAGTTCGGTGAAGATGTCCTGCTGGTATTGCTGGATGCTGTGGTGTTAGTGGGGTTTCATCCACAGAATGGATGGGAAAGCAAACTGACCAAGGGCAAGGACAGCTTCACCGGGACATTTGTGCGTTCCGGCGGCATGAGGAGCCTCTTGACGCGAGATGGAACTGATTCACTCGTCGCGATGCGGAAGAGATGCACGTGGTCACGTGATAATGACATCATAGGCTTTCATGAAGCAACAACCTAGGACACCCCGAGTTGACGATAATGATCTGAAAGAAGTGTTCATATGGGAAATGGACAGTCTAATGGCAATGAAATTATCTAGCTGTTTTCACCCGTCGCTGAGCTCTTACGCGAGCGTCCATATATGATGCGCCAAAAGGGTATCTTATGCTATAGTATGCGAAGAACTATATACATGAACACTCCCACGATCAATGTCCGCGTTCTTTGGCTTTCCCCGACTTCTGGTGTAGTCCTTTAGCGCGATCGACCCAGATCTTCGCAGCAGCCAAGAGACCTCCTTCTCGATAGCATTCGCGATGCACCACTTCCATTACTTGGTCAGCAATGTATTCGCCGTCTACCTTCGATGTGTGATCACGGCTATCGGTGGCCTCGGCCCTTTCCCGCCATTTTTCCGTTGTAGCTCTTCGTCCTCCTATTACTCCCATATTGCGTGTGCTAGGTATGCGGAGAATGGTCTTTTCCACCTCACACCCAATCTCCTGCGTGATGCTCATGGTCTTGGCTGTGAGAGCCCCATACATGGATTTATTGAACCCAGTCTCAGACAGAGCATCTTGCTTCGCTCTCCGGAGAGCCTTGAGATCACCAGATGCGGGCTGGGGGTCATGCTCAACTTCATCTCCATCCTGTGGATCATCCGCACTTGATGAAGACTGTGCCTTTGGAGGGGGATAACGATATCTCGCCCCAGACAGCGAGTGCGAGCAGCATGGAATCGCAATAAAGGGTGAGGGCGAGTCGGGGTGGGCCTGAGCGGCCATCAGAGGAGTCCACGGCGTGAGCTCGTCCGCATGGTTGGAGATGATGAAAGTATCCTTCGGAAACATACCGGAGTGGAATCCCACTCCGAGGTCGTGTAGCTCGCTCTCTAAACCGGCAGCCGTCATCGCATCCACGAATGGTCTCGGGATGTAGATCTGCTCCTTCAGACGTTCCTGCACGGTCTCGGGAAAGATGCTCCATGTCTTGCGGCGGCGGGCATCAAATCCCCAGCCATCGTACCCTTCCATGAGGAGCACGTATACTAGCAACCCGTTGCCGCAGGCCATGTCAACAAAACCTGGGAATTTGCGGACTTTTTCCTGTGCATCTTCGCTCCGCTCATCTGCCGGAACAACGCCGTACATGTTTCTCCAGAGCTCGATGAGGAATGCGGTAATGGCAAGGTCCTCAAAGACATGTTTCCCGGGATCTGTGCTCTCGACCCACCTCTCACAGAGATCCGGCGCGTACTTGAACTTGAGCCGGAGATAAGTGTCCTGTACTAGATGCCGAGGGATGATGTTGTCTTTGTTTGGGTTGTAATCTTCCTCATCCTGGCCTTCAGAAAGATGCGTGTTACCAGCCAGACGAATGTGGTTATTGAGCAATATATGCAGCGTGCGCTCCAGCCGGTTCTGGATCGGTTCCTCGGGCCAAGGCACAAAGTGGAGAGACAATGTGCCCGAGCCTGCTTTTTCTTCAGTGACCGAGGAGCCGCATTCATAGTCATAAAGATAAGCTAATGCCTGCAGGAGAGGGTGGTAGTATGGGGTATCCTCTTTCGACTTGATATGCGGCGAGTAGACGATGAGGTCTCGTCGGGACGAGGTGTCCGTAGACTGTTCATCGGAGGAAGTGGCATCGCCGCAAGAACATGCCTGTACAGCCTGAATTCCTTCATAGAAATGGCAAGTTTGCTCCATAGGGCGATCCAATTTGGGGTTTCGCGGAATTAGCCGTCTGACAACCGTCCTCGTTAGTGTAAAGCCCTGGATGTCTCTCGCAGGCAGTGGTTCCACGGAGTCCGCCACATTTGGACCTGCGACGGCTTCGGCATTACCCGTCTGCACAAATGTGTGTTCTCTCTGCTGTGGAGTCTTCAGAAGCCCCATGCTATCGTAGAGGATGTCGGCTCGGAAGAGATGACTGGAGTTGACGTTGATATTTCCCAAAAGGAAGAGAGTCAACGCATGCATCACCTCAGGCACGTAGGGCAGACCGGGCTCTGTTAGGTCTTGCGAGGTGACCCATTTCTCCTGGGCTGTGGTGACAATAGCAGGCGAGGCCTTGATTGTTTCTGCGAGTGGCTTCCCGGAGAGATGGGCCACATTGCGTGGGTTTTTGTTTCTGGCTTTGCCCATGGCTTGTCTATGTATATGATTCCGTGCGTAGCGAGTAGTACCATAATTGGAGGCAATTTATATGAATGCCATTATCCGGTGATGTTTTCACGGTATCTCTGCACTTAATTGATCATCTAGAATTTTTGCGAATTTCGCGAGAACAATTGGTGATATACATGACGTAAGCAAAACAGGACCCGCCAGTTACCTGATCCAACTTAGCCAGGCCTCGCTATCTGTACGACGAGGAGACACCTGAATGATGTTGAAAGACATAAGATAACGCAAAGGAAAGTATCGTGAGCATTATCTGTGAGACCCTCACCTTAGTGCACGTGGACAAATGGAGAGCGTCACATAAATCTTCGGAGCTACTAGTAAACACATAAACAGTAGCGATTTCATCGCCGCTGAGCGAGTTTGATATCGGAAACGTACCCATAATCAAGTGAAAATGTGATATTGAGAATTGCGACAAGGTGTCTGCTCGAGTATATGGGTTCAGTCTCGTGTAAAAAAGATATATCTATGAACTGAGCGGTGTATACCCAATGTCTATAGTAGTGATATTGTGTATAGAATAGTACATAGGTCAGAAGTGATACTCCAGACACTGAGGTGGAAAGGAGATGATGGTATCTAAGTCTAAGGAGTAAAAAGCACAAGCTCCACCCATCCTCTAATGCAAATTTGGCCAACGTAGGCAATGAAAAAGGCCAGTCAGACCCCATGGAGGCAATCCAATGACCATCTGTGGACCTTTACAGAGATCCTCCAGGGTTAGCGGCAGCGCCTTCAGAGGCATACTGCTCTGCACGACCCATTCCCGGTGAATGCTTCATCGAAGCTCGGTGCGCGGTGGGTTCAGAAGCGACAGACCTGGTAGCCGCAGCAGCCGCGGCCCCGTCCCTCAGACGCTTGATCCTCTCAGTTCGTCCTTCACCGGGAAGACTACCCCAGACAGGTTCGATCGCATCCGCACGCCAGTTAGACCGGTGGCCTGCAAGCGCCCCGCTGCGGGTGGGAAGAGGGACGATAGGAGCACCACCTACGCCGGCTTCACCCCACATCCGGACGCGTTGGAGTTTGCGCAGCTTAGCTAGTCCGTACACACAGACCACTGCGGTGATAGCAAAGCAGGTCACCGAGACGGCGCCGAATCCTAGGTCCGATTCCTCAATAAAGTTCTTCAAGTTCATTCCGTACAGGGCGGAGAAGAGCGTTCCAGTCGCAAGGCCGAGCGTCCCAATGCTAAACTTAAGGTCCAGAAGCATGAGCGAGTTGCGGTTAGCATCGAGAATAGCTTTCACGCTGTATGTAGTTAGCATGGGTCGCACGCATCGTATCCACAGGTTGTGACTTACACTTCCTCGGTGTTACGGATGCTAGTTACCAGGTTGCCGCTAGCCTGCACAATCTCATCGCAAACCTTGTGGTACGATTCCAGAAGCATCTCCACTTCTTGATGATCGTGTTCTTCACGCTGGAAGCCATTCGCACTCTCAGTGAGATACATTGTCGCCAGGTCGTCGTCTGCCTCCAGCAGATCGTCGATGGCGTCACGGACGAGACGTGCCTTCTGCTCGAAAGTACCCAGTCTCTTGGAATAGATCAGGAGGTGCCGCAACTTGTCCCGATCAATATCTTCCTCCAGCGCCCGGAGGACGCGCACGACCGGTTCTCTAACGCCGTTGAACTCTTCCTCGAGACCGCTTGTGACGCTGATCAAGACAGCTTCCAAAGCCCGGAACTCATACGGCAAGGCACCGGCGCCCTGCGACTGCTTCTGCCGTAGCTTCCCCTCCAGGTCGTACACGAATAGCGATTGCATATACGAGTCCGTCGATCCATAGGCGTCAAAGACCAGAACCCGGTCGGCCTTGATAAGCACCCGAAGATGGAGGAGGTTGATGAGGATCGCGCTGGGCCGTACGAGAATATGAGGAAGGGTCGACGAATCGATCTTTCGGAGATCTCGAGGGAGCAAGCCATACTTAAATCGCCGTTAGCTATTCGATTCCATAACCGGTGCAGAACACCTGGGTACGAACCTTGGCGATGAGCTCGCTCTTCTTGAACTCGCCATTCACAAGAGTCACATTGCCATTGATATCAAACTCTGTACATCGTAACCGCAACTCGTTTGGGGCTTTCGCTGCCAGACTCCGTTTATAGTTCAAGCCAGCATCGGCTCCGTCGTCAATCAATGCCGGTCCACCAGCGCGATTAAGCTTCGCGTCCGCGGCTGCCTTTCCGCGCCGGAAATCAAGAATCCTGCGCAAGAGAGGGCGGCTTTTTGTAGATGACGCTCGTGTATTCTGTATCTTGGGATACAGGTCTACCTTTGTGAAGGTAGACTGGCCGGACGAGGTTCGACATCGTAGGGTGTTGCGTCTCGGAAAACTTGGAACAGGGAGAAAGCCGGCCTCTAAAGTCGCATGGCGCCGCGCTGGGGTTATCTCAGTCCATATGGAATAATTCCCGGATGACAAGGCGCAAGGTGGTCGGGATTGGACCGGACCGCCGCACGTTGACGAGTTTGCCGTAAAGAAGAGAAGTGAGTCGGATTGGGAACGCAGGAAACGCAAAAGAGAGGCGGAGGGAACAATCGGTTTCAAAGATGACGATGGCAGCATTTCGGTCTTGTCATCAGTAACAAGCCACCGTCGCGAAATTTCGAGATGCGCCGTGTTGTTTTGCCTCTTTGTCCATCGTCATGGGTTTTCTTCTCGCGCGGCTTTCCTTCGACCCGCTGCGGGAATTACCGCGTCGGGCCAACAATTCTCCGGAGTATATCCAAAGGAGAATGAGAACGGACTTACAAATTCATGGACTCTAGGGTACGTCAGATTCTACAACTTAGCACCATCTCTCTCTCTCTTGATCAATCCATTCATCTCACACGACACCCTCTGTCAATACAACATTGCTTTTATTCATCTGCAAGATGAACGCACATAGTATCCCCGACTCCAATAATAGACTCGAGTTGGGATCAGTGTGCAAGCAGAGAACTATATAGACGAGGAGGAAGACAAGAACACCGCTATGAAGTAGAGGTATCAAACGAATCATAACAGGTCTAGTCCGCAAACAACACGAGAAAACGTATTTTCACGAACTGACAAAAGTCACCCCTGGTCTCACCAATCATCGTCGTCATCTTTCTCATCGTCTGCGTGACCGTTAGTTGATGATACAACATGCAAAGTGTGAAAACACGACAAGTCAACTTACCACTTCCGCTAACTTTCTGCTTTCTCTTTGCCAACGCATCCTGCAAAGCGCCGGCCAAACCGCCCTGGGGTCCACCTCCACTACTGGGAGTCGGCGCAGACGACTCATTAGCGCCTCCGGGGACCATTGCCGCACTTCGGTCTCGCTTCTCGGTATCCCTGACCTTCCGGAGGCCTCCAGCGCCGGCTCCTCCTGAAGCTCTAATGGCAGCCATGAGGTCGTCCCGACCGCCAGCAGGTTTGGGCAAAGGCGGCGCTGCTCCGCCGGGAGGCGGGGGTGGAGGAGGCGCGCCAGCCCCCGGAGGAGGTGGGGGAGGAGGAGCGCCAGCTCCAGGAGGAGGGGGCGGTGGAGGGGGTGCGCCACCACCGGGTGCAGGAGGAGGGGGGGGAGGCGCAGTAGGGCCGGTGCTCGACGGTGGAGGTGGCGGAGGCGGTATGTGTGAAGACGGAGGTGGGGGCGGAGGCGGAACCGAACTGGCTGGTGCCGGAGGTGGGGGAGGCCCTGGTGGCGGAGGGCCAGTTTTCGTGGAAGTCGCTGGAGGCGGCGGAGGTGGAGGAGGAGCAGCACTTGATGAAGGGGGCGGAGGGGGTGGCCTGGACGACGCAGGGACGGGAGGAGGCGGTGGTGGTTGGGATGCTGGACTTCTGGGAGGTGGAGGGGGCGGCGTCGGCGCGGAGGGAGCTGCTGCATTGGGGATCTTCGGAGGGAGCTGCGGGGGTGTTGCCGCCGCACGAGGGGGCGGGGGAGGTGGCCCTGGAGGTACCGGGCTACGACTCGGTGGCGCCGGTGGAGCGGACACCTTTCGCTCCCCCGTGAAAGGTGGAGGAACTCCGTGGCGGGATGGGCTGTCATCCATAGGTGTCTTCGGCGGCCGTGGAGGCGGGGGAGGGCCTGGATGGGCGCCCGACGCAGCTCGAGGGGCGGCCAGGCGGAGCAGGCGCATTTGTGTGGGCGTATTTTCCAGCATCTGCAATTGGGAGGGGGCGCTCGGAAGATGTTTCGCCGGGGAGATGGTTCACGCTTCGCCGGTTCCTCTTCCGCGTCTGTACGAGCACGCCGCGACGGAGGAGGGGGAGGGGGAGCTCCGCGACGACTCCCCCCACTGTTCCCAGTGTTCTGTGGGCTGATGGCACTAGTCTTTGGAGTGGGAGGGGCGGATGGAGGAGGTGGGGGTGGAGCTTTCCCTCTATTCTGCTCTTCGGAGGCCGGCGACGAATCGCCACCATTAGCCTGCTTCTGTTCAATATAGGCCTTGATGAAATCCGAGTTCTCCGCAATCTGGTCTTCCGTAATGCCCATTTGGAGCAATTCGTCTAGCAGACCCTTCCATGACGGGTCATTGGTGTCGAAAGGCAACGACTTGCGTGCCGGGCTTGCAGGCGGAGGAGGGGCAACCGGGAGGGCAGGCGCAGCAGGAAGCTCGGCGTGTTGAGTGGGCGGTGGTGCACTTGAGCCTGAACTAGAACGATGACCTAGTAGACTACCAAAGATCGAACGCCCGATACCGTGCTTGCCATTCGCGACTGGGGCAGGACCTTGGCCTCGGGTTGATGCGAAAGGCGTTTGGCGCGTCTCTTTGCTAGCGTTCTTCTCCCGCTCATGGACCTTCTTAATGAAGGTCTTAGCTTCCTTCTCATCGGCGAACGACAGGCCAGCAGCGCAGTCTTCCAATTCGAATGTGTGAAAGAAGGTCCGGTCTTGGTTGTAGGGAAAGTTGTCGTAGATCTCTTGGTCCCAGATGACGCCTCTCCCGGAGGGCTAAAGCTCAGATGGCACATTAGTTCTCTCTTGCATTGGAATAACAGTAAGATAAGAGAGCTCCGGTTACAAAGCAGGACTCACCGATATATCCACGATCTTAAGCCAGAACGTGCGCCCGACCAGGTCATTGGCCAGGACAGCGGCGCCTTGGATGCCTGTGTATGTCCATTTGTGGGGGTCCGGGTAGGCAACATAGAGTCGCGCAACAGCTACGGCATGGATCTTGTTCGCCGGCTTCGGGACATTTCTCTTGACAGTTTCTTTGTCGGCATCACTCAGGATCGACGGCATGACGGGTTAGGTGGACAGGAGGCGATCGTGAGTGAATCGGAGAAGGAAGATCGAGCACCGAGGATCAGATTAAGTGAAGTCACTGGCACGCATTGCAGAGAGCGAGCGTGTACTTGCTCCAAGGCAGAAGACCCAAGTGCGCTCGTATTCGGGCACGGGGGAATGATAGCGGATAGGTGGGAGATTGGACGGCAGTAACGGAACCGGTCGACAGAAAGCGGGGACGGGTTCTCCGAGGATCTGTTGATGGTCGATACTATCGAAGGAAGAGGCAGGAAAGAAGAAATGTACAGGGTATTTTGAGGAGAAGGGGAAAGAGGAGAGAGTGTCAATGGTGGTGGTGAGGGTGCGGAGGAGGAGAAATGAATAATGTGGTGAGCCTTAGAAGGGAAGCAACTCGGGTGAGGTCAGCAGGGGGTTTCCGTCCTCAGGCACCAACGGCGTCCCCGCTTCTTCTCACCACGATTCTATATTGAACGTCACAGGCGGTGTTTTTAGGCTTCAGCCATTGAATAGGTAATTTATATTAAGATCTTGAAGAGCACTGGAAATGATTGAGAACCATACTACAAGTGTATCTCAGGCAATTGGTTAAGTCATAGTCGCCGGTACCTACATTTTGAATAAACCTTGGCTTAAGCTTCTAAACAAAGTCCAACTATGATGATACTTCCTTCTTATCTCAATTGAGCGGCATTCCCAGTGAGATAGAGTAGGAGTATATGGTAAATCTCATCGTATCATGTCTACTACCTCGTGATCGCGGTGTCCGTCTTGGTGGAGGTCAACGTCCGATCTTAGGCAATCTCCTCTATCTCCGAGTCCCTGTGGGCTCCTCTCATCCTAACTCGAAATTCATTAATGTACTGCGCAGAGTATTCTCATTCTTCCTCTGTGTCAATTCAGAATGAAACAACAAGAATTAACCTCCTCCAAGCACCACCCGGCCTGGTCCATTGCTTGCTCCTCGTCGACTGGAGCTTCAAATCCCGAAGGCCCCGATGTAAACGTAGTAATGTATGGAGTACAGTGACTACGGATGATACAGTGTCCATACTGTAGGCCAATATTAGCTATCCTCCAGATAAACAAATAACAATAACCAGAGCGAGGTACTATAAGCGCTATTCCCAATCCGTTCACCAGAGCCGTGGTGCCCAGCAAGGAAATCAATGACGCAACAGCCCCCACCGAACAGTGAAATCTAGCATCCCGGCCTTATCTACTCCGTACAAGCGCAAGTACCTCCCAGCATCTCCCGCATCTCCCAGATCAAATATACAAAACCGCTGAACAAAATGGCCCCCGCCCCCAGGTGCTTCATCGTCCGTCATGGCGAAACAGAATGGTCCCTGAACGGCCGGCACACCGGCACGACCGACCTCCCGCTCACCGCGAACGGCGAAAGCCGCATCAAAGCAACGGGCAAAGCGCTCCTCGGCGATGACAGACTGATCGTTCCTAAGAACCTTGCACATGTGTAAGATTTCCCGATCCAATGACTGTCTGAACCTCATGTCGACCGATGATCTGTATAAGCACCATACGAGGGGAGAACGATGCTAAGGCTAATCAAATATAGATATGTCTCTCCCCGCGCCCGCGCGCAACGCACCCTCGAGCTCCTCGAGATCGGCTGTCGCGAGCGACTCCCGTGGACGGAGCGGCGCAAGCCCGAGACGGAAGAGCCGATCCGGACGGAAGCGCGTGTCGAAGTGACGGAGGCGGTGCGCGAGTGGGACTACGGCGACTACGAGGGGTTGACGAGCAAGCAGATCCGGGAGATGCGGGCGCAGAAGGGGGAGGGGTCGTGGGATATCTGGCGGGACGGGTGTCCGGGGGGAGAGTACGTATTCCCTCCGTTCTCTATTCTTTCTATGATGGCTTTGGACAAAAGATGGTAGAAAAGGTTGTTGCATTGGAAAGAAAAGCTGACACATATGCAGATCCCCTGAAGACATCATCCGTCGGCTGGACGCGCTGATTGCAGAGATCAGGCAGAAATACCACGGCCCTTGTCTGGAGGGCAAAGAGCCCAGGGGAGACGTCCTTATCGTGGCGCATGGTCATATTCTGCGCGCGTTCGCGATGCGTTGGACCGGGAAATCGCTCGAAGACACAAGTCTCATCCTCGAAGCGGGCGGAGTCGGGACACTCAGGTATGGGGATCATCCAGTCCTACCGGGCCAGGTCACGGTGGTGAATGAGGCTAACCATGTCGCAGTTACGAGCATCACAACATTGACGAGCCAGCGGTGATCCTGGGCGGAGCGTTCGTGGTGCCGAGCTAAACTAGATTCCAAAGATTTTAGATAGACTTCCCTGGAGTCGAGTCGCGAATAGGCGCAGTCCTGCGACTCGTTAGCTCAGACGCTTTGATAAAGCACGAAAAGATATAAAATCCGACGATAAAGATATATGATGTCAATAACTGAGGCAAACCCACCATTGGACCCCTTTCACGACTCCATCTTTGTATGCACTTCCTCCTCGTCCATCACCGTCTGACGGGCTTTAGATCCTTCGTCCGCATTTGCCTTGACCCCCTCTTCCCCAAGCACCTTCGCAGATCCCATAAATAGAGCTCCAACATAGCCCCCGAGAAAGCGCATGTCCTGCGCCTGGACGGCAGTCATGCGGAGGAGGTTCTCCGTATCTGCCAGATGGGCATTCAGCTGTGCCAATTGCGAGTGCAGCTGTGCGTACTGGCGGGTTTTGGCGGCCGACATGGAGGTGGAGCCGGCGGCAGAGCCAGCAGAGCTTGTCGATGTCGGAAGGATGGAATGACGCGGGAAGGACTGGGAGTTGGTATACTGGTGCGACGGAGGCATCTTGATGGATATGTCAAATATATGTTTCGTTGACTTTGGTTGTTTTGGAGGCGACAAGACCAACGGGCGGTTCTATGGTTTGTTTACGCAGGTGGGGTGGTGTGTAATCACGTGTGCGATCGCCGTCCAGGACAGCCCCAGGCAATTAGGCACCAAATCCCATGGGCCCTGTTCAACAGTTTATTGTCCGTGTAGTTCAAGTCGTTTATTATCAAAGTCAGGCTCTAGTCAAATGAACATGGCCGAGGGATCGACCTGTCATTAAATACTTCGCATGAACAAACCCAGCCAAATCAAGTCAATCAACCGAATAAATCAAACCCCTGCTCTTTTTATGCGCCAGAAACCAGACCATGATTGTAAAGGTGAAGGGCTGAGGAATATTCACACCAGAGCCCAGAGTAAGCACAAAACATGTATAATAAGGCAGAACAACAGAAGAAGGGTCAAAGGAGGGAGGTCGTATCAGACAATGATGATGCAGGAATTCACGCGTATAAACTCAAGGAAATAATGCGTCGACTTGAATAGTGTACAGCAGTCTTTCATGCAGAAATGGAATGCACGGTGGCCGTGGGAAAGGAGGGAGGAATGTCTGAGGTGGTATAGGCGAGAGGTCAAATCGTACGTGGGTCAAGCATCTTGCTCGTCCTCATTATTGAAAAAAGCCGTCGACAATGCCAGTGGAAATGAACACATGCACCAGAAACACAGCGCCCCCGAGTCACTCCAAGAGAAAGCATGAAACGAGAAAAAAAGAATATCCCGTATGTCGCAAGGTGTATATGTAAAGAAGTTGTGAACAGAGTATAAAACTGAGTCCGCGCTTCCCTCCTATGTTATGGTTCACAAGAAGCGTATAGCCCAAAGAGAGTTCCAAGCAATTATGCAGCTGGAAGAGAATGATCGAAAGAACCAGACAAAGACATATACGACAGACTCCGAATCTGGCTCAACTGCCGTGGGAGGGACGCAAGGACGGCGGGGGCAGGCATCAGGGATTAGCGCACAGGCATCGCAGCTTGCTGGGCGCCCAAGCTAATCTGACTGCTATGGGCCGAGGTTTCGGACTCAAGGTTGGCACTAGCTCCGCTATCACCACTCTCCGCGCTGGCGCTCGCACTTCCAGTCAGACTTCTATGCTTCGGAGTGCCCTTGGCGGAAAACGAGTTGCTCACCCCATATTGTTGTTCAACTTGCTGCGGACCTACCGCATTACCTTGCCCCGGAGGGTATCGGGGAACGGGTGCTCGCATTTGTCCCGGGGGGGATGGATGGCCGCTCGGAGGACCATTCGGGGGTCCAAGACTAGGGTCTTGGGGATTGGCCGGTCGACCCATACGCGGGCCTGGGGGACCGAAAGGAGTCGCGGGAGATTGGCTATTTCTTCTGCTCTGCGGATATGGGTGCGGCGGGAAGTCGCCCATTCGGCTGGCCGTCAGTGAGTTGGCACGGGAGCCGGCGTGCATCTGGTTGCGATCGACTGCACCGTACCGGTTGGACGAGTACGCCATCATAGGGTTGTCCATGAGGGAGTCGTGAAGGCCGGGGATCTCCTGCATGATGCGATCACTCGCCCGTTTCCTTCCCCCGAAGTATCGACTGAAGGCCGATCCGGGTCTGCTTCCACCATTGCCATTGATATGGATCTCGGGGTTTTTGCGGAATTGACTCGCACTCGGGGCTTTTTTCGCCCGTCGTGATGTGATGCTCATCATATCCACGCTATCGGGGTCAATGTGTGGGACCGGCATGCTTTCCATCGGGTCGAAGAAATCGTCTTCATCCTCTTCATCGAACGCCGCACGAGGCGGCGGACCCCTGCGAGGAGGACCGCGCCGCATGCCCATTTCTTGCTCACGAATCTGTAACTCACGTTGACGGAGAGCCAGTTCCCGCTCCCTCAAGGCCAAATCGGCCGCCGCAGGTGGACCTGGGGGCATATCATGGACGCCGTTGGCGCCATTTTGAGGCATCACCGCGTCGGGAGCATCGTCGTAGAGCACCAGATGACTGAACTCTTCCAATCCTTCTAAGGATGGCTCACGAGGGATTCTCGCCGACGCAGGCTGAGCGCTTGGGGGTCGGGCCATTCCGGGCATCGGAGGGCCACGCCGGGGAGGCATCGCCATTCCGGAACTGGTTCTACCAGCAGGTCCTGGACGCATGGGGCCGTTCATCGGAGGACCCCGCGGAGGGGCTGAAGACATTCGCGGAGGCGGGTTCGCCAGCGTCGGAGGTGGCGATTCGTTCGTACGCGGTTTGTTCAGGTTCGTCGTGTTGACATGATGGAGTACGGCGTAGAGGGTCTCAATTCGAGGAACCCGGACACCAGATTCCGCGGCCAGTTTGATAGGCGACCCCAGGTAGGTTTCGATCTCCATCGGACGCCGGGCCTGGAAATCCTGATACATTGAACTGGGCGCTCCGCTGGCGGTCATCTTCTCGATCGTCTTTTGAGCGAAATCGTCGGGGAAGGAACAGCCGTTGGCTTTGGCCAGTTCCATAAGCTCCTCGATGATATCCGTCACAAGCTGACGAACGCCAACTTTCTCGAGCAGCTGGGAGTGGTTGGAAGTTTCAAACATTACACTAGAGGGGTAAAATGCAATTGGCCTGCCGACGCACATTAGCCAGTGATCCCATACGAAGCGGTTTCATAACCACGACCATGACTTACCCGATCATGCGCTCAAACTGTTCCTGTCTAATATTGGGGGAGACTTTGCAGTCAACCTGGCCGGAGCCGAGCGTCATCGCCAGAGCCGCAGCCATATCGTTTTGGATGGAGGAGGGGATGTTGGACTTCTTATTTGTCGCACCGACCCAAATCTCCGATGAGTTCAGATGCTCAAATTCGCTAGCACCGATTTGAGAGATCTCGACCCCGGAGACGAGTGAGAGGACGACGTTGGTAGGGAAGCGCTGTTCCAGGTGTGACTCGACACCGATAGTATTCGTTGTGTTTACGAGAATGCATGTGTGTTGAGGGGTGACGACAGACTCGATGACGGCTGCAAGGTCGTAAACGTCGGGCAAAGCCTTCACACAGAGTATAACGTAGTCGTAGGCGTTTTCTCGCGAGGCGGCGTCTTCCGGAGCACGAACGACTGCAGAAAATCGTGGTTAGAGCGCGAAGAGCGGAGGAAACGTGTTTTTCTGTAGAGAGACTCACCATGGCGAGGCTTGAATCGTTCATTGCCGAAAGCTTTCGACCTAAATTGCGCTCCATTAATCACTAATCCGTCGAATCGCTTCCCAGGGGAGAGCTTACTTGAATGACACTCCGTACTGGGACACTGCTTCATATCCTGATTTCCAGACCAGAGTCACATCGCACGAAGTGGTTGCCTGCAGTCTCCAGGAGAGGAAAGCCGAGATAGCATTGCTGCCGACTACACACGCACGAGTCAGATTCTTGTTCATTTTGAAGACCGTAGGAACGAGGAGAGGATGGATCCGGGGGGCTCGTTCTCGCAGGAGCGGCCATTCATGGGGGACGACAGTGGTGGAAGGGAACGGTCGAGCGATAAATTAAATTAAATCAAGGCGGACGTACCTGATAAAATGCGCAAGCGCGGTGGAGGAGCCATGATTACCGAACCAACTGGGAAGGAAAGGGACCCCGTTTCCCGCCAGCCAAATTGGACGCCGTTGGAAAATCTACCGGAACGGCTGATCGTTGACACAAGAGAAAGATGCTGGAGATAACGCGAGGCGCGATTTGACGCTGCCTACGACGTGAAAAAACGAGCGCAAACTGACGACCGAAGCCAGAATGATCCGGAGTTGATAAGATGGCAACCCAACGCAGAACGCAATTAGAAAAAGGATCCCGTCCAGAACGACCGTAGAGGAGAGATGATGACGACCGGGAAGATCGGGTAGTGACGAGGAGAGAGAGACGATAGGGAGAAAGAGGGTAAACGAGAGGAGGAGAGAAGGGAGGAAAGGATGGAGGGGGGGTGGAGAGTGAGAAAGGGGAAGAAAGGAAGAGGGAGAAAGATTAGGTCGGTGATTACTAGTAGACGACGAAAGTAGATGGAGAGGAATGAATGGATGGGATGGGATGGGATGAGATGGGGATGGGGATGGAGGGACGGACGGAGCTCCAGCAAAAAGAGCTGGCCCCAATGCGTTTCTTGGTCTTTTTTTTTTTTCTCGCTCTTTTCTTTTTTCCTTTTTCTTTTTTTTACTTTTGCAGCGGCGCCCAAACAACTTCAACGGTCGTGGATCCTCTCCGTCAAGGCTCGATCCGGAAACGGAGCGCAGGGGGAGGGAGGCAGAGGGAGACGGCGAAAACAGCAGAATGGACGGAGTTGGGAATGATTCTGCTGGAGGAGGCCGTGTATGGTGAATTACTCTGTTCTCTTTTCTTTCTTTTTACGCTCTCCTTTTTATTTGAGGTGATTATGAATCTGATTCAGCACCAAAAGTCTCCTAGGATGTGTGGTTATTTTTGATGGTGGTTTATTTTTATTTCTACTTTTTTTTTTTTTGCTCCCAGTCTTATTCGGATCATTAATTTGTAGCCTCCTTTCCTCCCTATAATGATGGTTTCTTTTTGTCTGCCTCTCTGCAACCATAGTCATAATGTAATAGAGAGGACATAGAAAATACAAATAGAAATTAAAAAGGAATCCGATCCATCAGACTCCAGGCAATCCCTCTCTTGGTCATGGTTCCAGCTAGATGAAGCTAATCAAATCAAGGAAAATGTAGACTAAGTCGTCTCTCGACTCACGCTACCTGATAGAATCGATCGAGACAGATCGAGACAGTATGGAACCACTTCAATTCCAAAGCAAACATCGTGGAATGTCAACCATCCTCCGCGACTCGGACCGAATAATTCCTAATAATTATCATCGTCCAGGATGATGTGGATGGGCACTTAATTCATTCATGAGACACGACGACACCCACCCACTGTTGGTCGAGCCAACCAAGATCCTCCCGCCAGCACAACCCACTCAGAGCCCACTTGGGTCGAGGTCAGAACCGGGATTCGGCCGCTACTCTCCCAGCCTATCTCCCCATTATTGGTGTGTTGTCGTGCACTGACGGCCATCGGGAGGCGAACTCGAAGGAGCTAACTACTTCGAGGAACGAGCTAGAACAGCCGGATCGTACGGACACAGAATAGATAAAAAGAATAAATAGGTATTGCCTGTCCGACGTGATGAACTACTATCCCGTCGTCTGGGGAGTGTACTCCGGAGTACATATATGGCTCACATGGCTCTGAGGCACTTCAGGGCCCTGAGGTCTCGTCCTCAATCACAGACACGACCAGGATCATCAGCATAATCAGATGGTTCACAACCCGACCGCCGAGTGTGACCCTCCAGCGCCATCAACCTATCTGCGCTGATAAACCAGTCAGAAAGAACCCAGAGGTGGTACCAACCAGGGTGTCGATATGACAGAAGACGGGTGGGATTCGCTCAGAAAGAACCAGGGTAACCCACGACACGCCGTTCTGTCCCTCCTTTTTTTCTTTTCTAGATCACACGCGCGCGACTGAGTACTCCATACATCGACCGTCTGCTGTCGAGACGACTCCCGTGAGCTGGTGATCGGAAGCTCCCACCTCGGGAAAGGGAAGGGGGAGGCAGTGTTGCGCACCCGGCATGCCACAAGCCTCCGCGCGAGTAGGGATCGACATCCACGCTGACCCGGGACTACCCCATCACAGATTTTACAACGGCATGGGTGGCCGTTTGCAGAGCCAGGGTCCTGCTGTTTACGGAGATGCAGGAACACCCACCGGTCCGATCTTCTTCCCGTCCGCGCAGCGACCAGACTAATCGTCGGCAGCATGTGCACAGTCGCCATCCGACGGGATCATGTCATCCAATTTTTCCCGTAGATCTGGCGCCTCCGGGTCGAGCGACTAAAGCATCGTTTCGCATCGTTCGGGGTGGCTGATGGTTAACCGGGTTTGATATTAATTGGGCGCATCAGGAGGCTGCGATGGCGTTGAGCTAGGCGCATAGTTGACTAATAATTGTGCTCAACATACGTAGCTTATTCATGTATAACTGTGGATGATGTCCTTTGTGCTCCGGAGTTCTGTAGGTATTCTGTAGGTGCTGTGTCTGGGCTTCGCATGGGGAGGTGTGCACTTCATGTGCACTTATGTATGTCGGCTCCCGAGGCTACAAGTACGCCGAGGGTGTTGGGCGACCATGCTTATCAGACAGGCCCGTTGCATGGAGACTGATACAGATAACTACCCTCATCTTTATGCTCATCAAACGGAGCTGACCACGCGAGAGGATAATCATACTCCCAACCACGGTCCAGACCTCTGGAGGGGCGACGATCAAACCCGATGATAGTCCAAAACATCCTCTGTGGGTCTGCCCGGCGAGTTCGTCCGGAAAGCCAATGGCAAAAGGTCCCCTGTTTCTATCTATGGAACATTATGGTGGATCCGACACTAGCCGCGTTGGCTAATCAGCGCCTCAGCCTCCTGTGAATTAAGATTTTCATTTTCCTCGGCCTGTACCTAACCTTTACGGAGTACCTATTGTATACTTGTACACAGCCATATTGTAATCTGCTATCTACTAGGTACTGTTCTACATATCATTGCCCAAATCCCTAGGTAGTCGCTAGGCATGTTTGCAGCAAGACCCGGTGACACCGAAAATTCTTCATCCCTTCTACCATGAACAATTCCTTCGGGCGCAAGGATTGATCATGCCTTGCGTTCTCTCTCGCCTGTCAATCATCAATGCACCGCTTTCTCCTCTGGTAGTCGGTTGATATCGGTGATGAACAGTTTTCTGTATATCTCCGCATCTGCATTTCCGTAGTGACTTCTGATCCATGAATCTATCTTTCAGCCCTCTGTCTCTCGCCGGATGTCAGACATTTGAACTGGGCGACCCAAGCCCCACTTCGATCGATCGATGGCTTCCGTGAGAATGTTCATGATCGTTCTGGCGCCCTTTACGAGCACGCAGGATTTGTCAAGCGAAAAGCCAAGCAATAATACCCCGCTCATGGGAGTTGAGAGCCACAATGTCGCTCTGAAAGAAGAAGCATGACTCCAGCATGATTCACCCGCCCGTAGAGACGTATTGCCACATCCGGCATATATAGACACAATCCCATTATGGATTAGTCATCCAGGGGATAAAAGAAGCACATCTGAAGAAATCCATTACTGCATGTCGAAATCCAATCCGCCGCATGCCGCAGGTTGCAATCGTCCAATCGAGAATGTCCGAAAAGATGCGCGTCAAAGTCAAATGGCGAGAACAGACAAATCGACAGGCGCTCTCGGAGAAAATTTAAGAACAAATAAAACTGAAAAACAATGCCGGCGGATCCGCATGCGGTCGAGAACGGTTAATCCGAGACATTCGACGTTCATCGTCTGCTCCACCCAAATCTGGATCCGGATTGGGGGGTGGGCACACGCATCTGCTGAGGGCGAGAAACAAACATGGTGAATTCGGACGCCGCTGAGGTCCTTTTCTTTTCGTCCTTCGGTAGCCCGGTCGTGACCTGTCATATTCCCTGTCGGACGACCCTCGCATTGGACCATTCAGTCGATCGTTCCCCCTGTAGCTCAAAATCGCGACGAAGATCCTCCAGAGGAACCGGCAGAAGAAAATACCTACCGTATTGGCTCCCGAAGAGAGGGCCCAAAAGCAAGGAAATCTCCTCCGGTGGCTTGCCCTTAGTCCCGACTTAGCGTCGTTGCACCCGGGCAAACGTCACGGCTGAATCATCCACCCCGCAAGACACGAGTATGGCCACGTAGATCGTCGATGGCCAGAGTAGGTATCTGCGGTTACGCGAAGCTTAATTACGCGAGTGGCAGGAGCTTTGGTACACATAGACTGGATACTCAGGATTGCACCGCCACCGCAGCTGCTGCAACTCCTCGAAGACGACGGCGGCCCGTCTCCACAGCGGCAGACATGATATCAGTGGACACGACGCGTCAATCGGTCTACGACCTCGTTCGTTCGCGGAGACACTGACGGACGAGACACGTAGATCAGCTTGAGAGATCCCTCTATGCAACTACCCATGACGACAAGCTACAGAGTCAGCCACGACAAGCGAGATGCTTGAGAAGATTCTGCCCGTCGAACTCGGTCAAGAACCAGGCCAGTCTTGTCGCGACGGTGGAGACGCGCTTGCCTGCAAACAATTCCCCTAAAGCCAAGTGGTTTGATGGTTCACGTTCATCTCCTTCGCCTTGGCCAGTCACTCAGGGGAGCTAGGCAAAGGACTGCCTTGGTTTTCGTACCCGACCAGGGCCGTCCTCCATACTAACTAGTCCTCTGTAGTAGCGGTGCTGATCCAAATCATAGGCGCACAGTTATTGGACGTACCCTGTTGATCACAGCAGAAGCGAAATCATTGGCATCGCCCGGCTATTACTCTCCAGCCAATGGCCCATAGCCCTTATGGTAGACCTAATGACCTTCTGGGCTACATGTTCCAGTCTTCGGCGAAGAAAATTAAACTACGAGCAGCACGAGACAGGGATTAGAAGAAGAAAAACCAGGATCTACATTTATCTGACTGGTAATAGCTATTCTTCAACTTTCGCTCACTGAAGCAGACCCAATCTTCGGGAAGACTACATGTCCTTTTCCCTTCTCGAGCAATTTTATGCCTTTAATCTTGGTGTCTGCCGCTAGCGTGTATGTATACACTCTACTTGGACGCAGCAAGTCATGTCAAAGCATACACATAGGACGGAATTAGATATATATCAGGTATGGCCCCATAGTTGCTTTTATATAACGATCTAGGCAAACAGTACCCCTCTCCTCCCTCCGTCCAGGACTATTAATCTCCTGCACAGGGGCCTCGAGGTTGCAAAAATCTCCTCTTATACTAGATAACACCAAACCCGAGCTGAAACTGCCCATGCTCAGATCACACTCAATCCTCAGTCTGTTTGGATACCAGTATTCTCGCATCCGAGGCTACACCAAGACAATGTCTCCACTGAAGCATACGACTCAGCAATGAGCACTATGAGCGAGCTTGGGCCGAGACTACGTGCGGTAGCCCTACATTGATTCATCATCTTCCAGCTTCAGACAAGCATTCACCCGAGATCGTTTTAGATTGATAGATAATACAGCTGGCATACTACCAGAAGCACTGGCACCGGGAATCCATCCAAGATACGCGGCATTGAAACGTATACCCACGTATGTTTTCGCCCAGATGTCCCTGATCCTTCCCGCATACCCACCAGTGCCTCATTTAAGAATCAATAAAAGACACCACCGGAGACAAGCACTTCCGAACCATCACGCCAAGGAAAAGAAACAGAAACAGAAACAAGAAAAATAAGCTAAGACGAGAATCAAATTTCACACATAATTTATCCGATGCAGCTAGGTAACGCCGGATGAGCTTGCCGCTTATGCCATGTAGGTGCTGGAGTCAACACCGCCCTCGGGATACTCACTGCAGGAAAGGTTAGTTTGTCGTCGGCAGAAACGAATATGTGGGTAAAGCAGGATTACATACGGCAGAGCAACCTCGAAGCGCTTCTCAATATCCTTAAGGACCTTCTCGTCATCCTCGCTGCTGACGAAAGAGATTGACAGACCCTTGGTACCGAAACGGCCAGCACGTCCGACACGGTGCAGGTACGAATCGGCGTCGGCAGGCAGGTCATAGTTGATAGCAAGGTTGATACGCTCAATATCGATACCACGTCCGAAGACATCAGTAGCGACACAGATACGCTTGTTAAACTCCTTGAACTCCTTGTAGCGTTTGATACTGTTGTCGTTAGTCATCAACCCAAATCGTCTGCGATGATGAGGAAACATACCGCTCTTCCTGGCTTACACCGGAGTGGACGGCAATACTAGGGAAGTTGCATTCACGAAGCAGCTTGTCCAACTCATTCGCGCGCTGTGTGCTCTTCACGAAGATAATGACCTGGTTGAACTCCAGGTTATCCAGGAGGTCGTTCAGCTTGCGGTTCTTCTCAGATTCGCTAAGCTTGATGTAGTACTGCTGCAGACCGTGCAGCGTGAGCTTGGTGTCATCGTCAACGTACACCTCGAGAGGGTTTCTCATGAACTTCTTGCAGATGGGGCGGATTTCCTGAGACAGGGTAGCACTGAACATCATGACCTGCTTGTCGGCGGGAGTAGCGCGGAAAATCTCCTGCACGTCACGGCGCATGTCTATGTGATCTGTAAGTACGGGAGTCGGGATCCATGTGACAGACTGAGCAACTCACCAATCTGGTCCAGCATCTTGTCGCATTCGTCGAGAACGAAGGCCTTGACGTTGCGCAGAGAGAGTTTCTTCTCACGAACCAGAGCGTTCAAACGACCCGGAGTACCGACCACAATGTTGGGGTACGACTCCTTGTTGGACAACACTTCGATGTCTTTCTGGATAGGGGTACCACCGTAGAAGACGGCGGTCTTCACATCGGGAAGGTACTTGCTGAACCGGGCGTATTCGTTTTTAATCTGGTACGCCAACTCACGGGTGTGGCACATGACCAAAACAGAGCACTCTCCAGGGACGGGCTCCAGTTGGTGAAGGGTTGTCAAGACGAAGACTGCAGTCTTTCCCAGACCGGATTTGGCCTGGCAGAGAACATCCACGTTGAGGATGGCGGTCGGAATGCAAACTTGCTGGACTGTAGTGAGAGGGAACGGAATGTTAGACTCGTGTTCGATTCATAAGACTTGAGAAAATGAAGAAAACAATCCGCGTCGCAAGGTCCGTCCATCCCCGAGGTATCATCGGTCGAGGCATGCAGTTGAAGTGCACTCATTCGTATCACGAGAACAAGCACAAATTGGCTGTCCGCTTGAATAAAGAGATAGGATATCTCTATGATAACCAAAAGCTCGCTGCAGGCGACCCAAAGTCACCTATCGCGCAGGAAGCGGTGGAAACAAATCCTACGTCTTCTAAACAGAAGCGCAGCATATCCAGCATATTGCTCGGTCGGCAACCTGCTGGAAGAGTCTGGAATCCAGAGTCACCGTCACTCGCAGACGCGAAAGATAGAATGACAAGCAGTAGGTACAAGACCACTACTACCACAGCACGACTTATCACAGCCTCACGTGGACAACTGCCTGCAGCGCGCAGGCCCAGGCCCAGACGGAGGCCCAAGATAACGACTGTGATTTCCCGCGAAGATGGACGGACGATGGAACATGGAGTAATAGATGGAGGCTTGTGGGAGAATGTGATGAACTAACCCTCCGATGGATGTTCGAAACCGCAGTCGGTGATCGCACGTAGGAGTTCTCCCTTGAGGAGGAAGTCGCGGAAACCGGTCGAGTGAATACCGACATAACTTCCCTTCTTGTCGGAGCGGCCACCGGTCACAGTCAGATCGCCAGTTTTGGCGGGGGCGCCATTTGCGGCGGGAGCAGCGGTGGTCGCGGCAGCGTCAGTGGTCTGAAGCTCCTCGTCGGAGTAGTCGATCAGATCTTCTTCGTGAGACATGATGGCAGATTAGATGGTTAAGCGTGAGCAAAGAGAATCGATGGTCGAGAGACAAGAAAACTCTGTGGTTGTCGCAGCGCGCGTCGGTTCCAAGGCAGAGTAGCGAAGCCTAGGCTGGAGACGATGAGGGGCAAAACGGGTCTAACACTAAGACGACAAAGAGAATCTATCGTCGAAGATGCGTAACTGTTCCCGGTTTATTTTTCGAGGATGAATTGACGGGTGGGAGAAGGTGGGAGAATGAAGAAAGCGATGGACAAAGAGAGAAGCGTTGCAGTTGCGAGGGATGAAAGGCTGAGCTGAGGTCAGGAAGGCAACATCACGTGATATGAAAGAAAGAACGGGTGTTAGTCATCCACAGTCCTACCGCATCCGGTTAGTGTCGTCAGATGGCCGCCTCAAGCTTTCAGCAAAGGTTGCGATTCCGACTGTGTGAATTCTCCCACTCCTCTTATTTCGTGTACATCTTGTTCACGATGGCCAAGGTGAAGGGGAAGAAAGGCGTGACAGGTGGAGTCAATAGTCACATCAGAGCTCGATTAAATTATCTTCACCAAGCTGCTTCCTATCTACAATCCCGAGCGATCTCGTCAAACGCCCTCAATCCAGATACAAACAACCAGAATGCGTCAAAGCCAACATCGATTGCCCCACCTACTGTGCACGAGAGCGCAGTGCCTGCGCAAGAGTCGGACAGAAAGAACTCCGCATCGGCTACGACAGGTCGTCTCATGCAGGTGTCCCGTACATACATGTCTCATATGCGCGGGGTATCTCTCAAAACCCAGCTTCGCCTGCCCGTTGAAGTAAAACGGTCGGTTTGCAAGCGCTGTGATACCCTATTGATTCCGGAAGTGAATTCTACAGAGGAAATCAGAAATGCCAGCCGTGGTCGCAGAAAACCATGGGCTGATGTGCGGGTTGTTCGTTGCAGTACATGTGGGACGGAAAAGCGCTTCCCTCAAACGGACAGGCGAAGCAAAAAGCTTTCTGAACGTCAAGAATCAAAGATCCGGATGAAAGAGCAAGCCGGTGCGGGATGACCTTGAAACGTATCTTGGCAAATGCAGAGATCGGATTTCCCACCAAACACTGGCGAGAGCCGCAGGAGCGCTCATTTATCACCCCGGTGAATCTAGGTGTTGACGGTCAGAAGAGCGTCAGTGTCACAGTGGCTATGCGGCAGCTAAACGGGGATAAAGTCAAGAAGCCTTATACTGGCACCATTGACGGAAAGACCCTCGCGCTTCTACCGAGAGGCTTGGGATCTGGTGCACTGGACCTTTTTGAGGAGCCCCCACACGTTACTTTCTGGGGAAGTCACCAATCTGGAGCATCTATTAGAAAGATGCCCAAAGGCCATGAGTCTGTCAAACAGATCCAACTCATATGCAAAATCAACGTAATTGTATCACTGCTAGAGTTGGACGTCCACTGGGCATGAAAGAAGCGAATGATGCAGAAAGGGGAATCACAACATATACTAGACAGCAATCGGACTTAATCAAACGAAAGACACGATTCTCATAAAACAGGAGGAGTGCTTCAAAAGAAAAGAAATGAAACCAATACCCAGACGCTAAAACACCATGCTATTCTGTCGTTTTGATTGCAGGTCGTCGTTCTCAATTCCAGTCAGCTTTGCCGTGAGGCAGATATCCAAATCTCTTTTGAAAGAAAAGCTTCCACGTCAAAAGAATCACGCATTCACAGAGCACAAAGAAAGCAAGTAAGGTTGTCTCGGGCAGTATTCTCGCCGTCAAAGGTCATTATGTTAAACTCGGAACATATAATGCAGCAAATGTGACAGGGGTTGTAATATCACAGGGTCCGCGAGGACGAAGGCGGTATATAAGCATGCAACGTAGGTTTTGACTGTTTCAATATTCTTTCCACAATTGTTTTGTGGTTTCGATATCTTTTCGTGCGTAGACTCGAAAGTTTCTGGTTTGCATTGTCATTATTGCAGGGGTCATAGGCGCGTGTCAGTTATATCATTCGTGATTGGTGAGAGTGTTGAAGTTTGATACTAGATTCCATAGAGGGCAGGGCAGTGTGGTAGGAATGGCAGTGTAATATGTTGGTGCTGGTAGAGGGCGTGCTCATTTGGGTTCATATACAGGCATGTCAATGTCGACGGCGGGACATCTGATCGAGGCGGTGATCCAGACCCTCAATCCGAGCTCGATATGCTTTCACGATTTCCCTGATATGACCGATTTTCGTCATCTCGTTCTCCAAGTCGTCGATTGACGCCAATATCGAGCGAGTGCGGGCAATTTCAGCATCGGCGTTTCGGATGACGTTCCCGGCCCGGTCGTAACTGTTCTGGATCGACATTTGCATTTGCTCCTCTAGCTGTTTCGCACGTCAGTACTAGGATATGAGACAGTATACAACGCAATGTCAGGTTCTGGGGTCCATTTGTTGTCGTACGTTTTCCCAAACAGGAAGCGAAACAACAAGAATAACTAAGAGCGTCTGGGTAGAGCGACAAGGCAAGGTGCAACAAAAATAAAAATAAAAAAAATGAAAATTGAAGAGAAAAAGACACATACATAGCCGATGCGACTGCGAATTTGATCCTGCAAGGCATCCAGTTGATGGGAGAGGGCTCGTAAACTCATGGGATCCAACAACAAACGACCATGACTGCTGGCGGCACTGGCAGCACGCGAACTTGAGTTGCTGGTTCGACCGGTCCCCCTGCCCCTGGAAACCCCATTGCCGGCGTGGCCACCCTGAAGCGCGATCTGTTGCTGTTGCCGGAGGATCTGGATCTCGGAGGAGGTGAGGCCAAGCGAGGTGTCTGGAATCGAGGTTGATACGGACATTTGGTCCCGGCAGAGACATGCTCTCACCGCGACAAGGGTCTAGGAAGCGCCGGTCGATCTCGATGTGTGGAGATTGGACGGACCCAAGTTCATGATGTTGACCAGAGCGATTGAAGGACGGCGGGAGGAGGGACCGGGGGGATAAGGGAGAACGTGGGAAAAGGGGAGAGGGATCGGAATCAATAGGCTCGATCACAGTTGAGTATTCTTGCCTCTCCCTTTGTATCCTTCTCTTCCCCGGCGATATATATAACTCCTCCCCTTTATATTCCTTTTCGGGTTGAATCAATAACAGCACGCACCCTCTTCAGGCAAGGCGTATCATCGGAGAGTCAGCCGGATGAGGAGTAGGAGGGGATCGTCGGAGGAAAGACGGTGGGAGAAAAGCCCCCGATTGAGGAAATGGACTTTCAGTCGTAAAAAGAAAGCAACTGCGACGGCTCTCCTCGTGGATCGGCCAGTGGGGGTTACACTGACGGACGGAGAAGATAGGGGAGAACAGGCTAAGTGGGATGGCACAGACACCGCCGACTTTCAACTGACGGTGAAGGCGCCTCGGAGGAGCAGGGGATGGTGAATCGGTGTGGGGGAGGGATAGACGATGACCAAAAACAGGATCCAAACAAGTGAGAGCCAAAAAGGAGACGGGAATCAAGAAGTAGGAGGAGGGAAGACGAGGGAGGAGGGTGAAGGAGGAGAGGGAGAGGAGAAGAAGAGCTTTAGACGGCGATGTCCCATTCAGCGCAAAAGATCTGGCGCTTTGCCGGATTAGGCAGGCTATGGGTCATCTTGTTTTTATCGCAAGTGATGCGACAGTAGATTTCAGAGTTTATTTTGGACTTCCGACGTCAAAGAAACAGGAAACGAGGGAGAGTTGATGTGCCATAGTGCATACATCGGATGCTCTCTACAACAGTCTTCCCAAAGCAGTAATCTTGGTTCCGCCCGCCGCCCGCAGCTCCCTCTCATCCTTTCTCTTTCTTGTCCTTTCGGTCTTCCTACCTTCATCCTTCCGATCTACAATCTTAGACATACAATAAGAAACGGCGCCAGTCTTCACAACACACGCCGGACTTCCTTCTCGTCCTGTTGTCCCCCCGCATCCGTTCGGCGGTCAAGATCCAATTCGCCCCTTCGGACCCTTCCATCTGTGAGCGCCGCCAACGACAACCCGACAATTGATCCACCTCCCCAGAGAGAACGCCAACGGCGCGCTCAACCCTCCGCTGCCCAACCTGTGAGGCTAAAGCCTTGCCGTCGGATTTGTGTGACGTGATTGGATTGGAGGCCCTTCCCCCGGGGCAGATCCGACTCTGCGAATCCTCTTCATGCACCTTCCTTGAACTTCTGGCCTGTGAGCATTCTCCATCACTTCGCTACTCGCTGTGGTTCGCTGCAGAGCTGCTTGTGTCCCCAGTAGCTGTATTACCCCTCAACAGCCAACCGTATCAAAGACCCGAGCTTGACCATCAAAGTGACGAGAGCTGACAAGATTTTTTTTTTTTTTGGCGTTGCAGCAGATTTTCACTTACGGTACCTAATCTACAAAGCGCGACATCCCAATCCAGTTTGGAGCTTGTATCCCTCTTCCTCAGAACTCGAACCCCTCTCGCACAACATTACGGAACACGTCTAAAGACTCTGCGACATGCCGAAAGACAAGGAACGCTCCGTGAACCCCGCGCAAGCGCAGCGAAAGCTCGAAAAGCAGAAGAGCTTGAAAAAAGGAAAAGCCGAGGCGCTGGCTCGCCGAAATGAAAAACTGGCCCGTCGCAATCCAGACCGCATCCAACGGCAGATCAACGACCTCAAATCAATAGAGGAATCTGGTCAGCAGTTACGTCCCCACGACAAGCAAATCCTCGAGGCGCTGGAGAAGGATCTGCGCGCCGTACAGAAGGCCCGAGAGGCTTTAGGCGATAAGGCACCCAAATTCGGAGGCTCCGAGTCCAGACGCGGGGGCTTTGGTGGACGTGGACGCGGGGACGGTGGCGTGCTGGGGAAGCGGAGGAGAGATGAGCGTAGTCATTTCGGCCAGGAGAGCGACAGCAGTGAAACGGATGAGGATGTGCGCAGGATTCCTATGCCACGGGATACCCCCCCTCCCATTCCCCGAGAGTACCAGAGGAGAAGAGGAACAGACCAGGATGCAGATCAAGCTCGTACTCGGGGACCTCATCCACTGCCGGCGAAACCAGCCGTGACAGAGTCTAAGACCGTTTACGAAGCTAAGCCAGAAATCCGGGATCTACGAAAAGAAGCCATCAGCAAGTTTGTCCCAGCTGCGGTCCGGGCCAAGCAGGAGGCCATTCGAGGCCAAGGAAAGCTGCTGGAACCGGAAGAGATGGATAAGTTGGAAAAGGCGGGTTATCAAGCGAGTCTTTCGGAGGGAGCCGAAACTTCGAAAGAATCACTCGCTGGCCAGGATCCTGAAGAACTGCAGAGGCTACAAGAGGAAGAAGAGCGGTTTAACCGGGAGCTACGGTCTGTACAAATCGAAGAAGTGGAGGATGAGGAAGCATGATTTCCTAGTTAATGAGACCAAATAGTAGGCTGTATAATGAATGTACTGGGTCCTCATATGTGGTCATCTACAAGAAAGCGCGTGTGTTAATCCAACATCCTCGGTATCGCATTTATATAGGCAGTATTGAAGACATGATGGGTTGGGATCGAACACATTCTTGGTTCGATTTGAAACATTCAGTATCACTAACAGACACTGCAAGGCTTGCCCATGAGGGCATCGGCCACAGCATAATACGCCGGCTTGGCTTCGAGAGTATCATTGTACAAAGTAGCACCTCCCTGTCCTTCGAATGTGTAAGGAACCCAGGAGTACTTGTCAGCAAAGTCCCAAACGACGACGCCGATGCAACGAGGACCGACTTTGAGACAGCTCAGGATGCTATCGTAATAGTCCTTTGCTTGTTGTCTCTGTGCCTCTGCGGTGTAGAACGGAGCCTCCGAAAACCGAATATCCAATTCCGTGACTGTGACGTCCAAGTCGGCGTCGATGTAGGCCTTCTGGGTAGCAATCTGTTCTTCCAACGACGGGGTCTGGCCCACGATGAAATGGGACTCAAGTCCGACTCCGTCGATACGGATGTGTCGCTTCCGCAGTTCCTTGGCAAGCTTCAGGACGGCATTAGCCTTCGGACCGGGGTTCTCAATGCCGTAGTCGTTGTAGTAGAGCTTGACTTTGTCCGCGTGAATTTCGGCCAGGGCTTCCTGGGCAAACTTGAATGCGAGATAGATATACTCCTCGCCGATGGTCTCGTACCAAACGCCACCCGAGAACGAGCCGTCACCGTTGAACGCTTCATTGACCACATCCCAGGAGTAGCAGCGCTTGCCAAAATGCTGGACGGTCTTGAAGATGTGATTGCGCATGACGGGGATCAGGGTCTCCGCGGTCCAATTTCTCGCTGTCACCCAGTCGGACACTTGGGACGCCCAGACAAGGTTATGGCAACGAACGGGCTTTCCGGTGCGTCTGGCCAAGTCCATGAAGTAATCGCCATCGGTGAAGTTGAACTGATTCGGGCCTTGCTCGGTATACATGAACTAACACATGAATCCCGTTAGCCTCGGGGCTCAGTTGATTTTCAAATAAGGTAAACGTACCTTCAGGGCATTGGCCGGAGTCATTTCGCCAAATTGGGTTCGCAAGACCTCCAGATATGCCGCGTCGGTTGTCTCATCTGTGTGAGGAATATCGGCAGCGGTACCAAACCAGTGCATGCCGGCGCGTTTGGCAAGGGTATCAAGGCTAAAGCCTCGCCCATGATCATGGGGGGCTGCAAATGTGCAGCCGACAAGCAGCGTGGTAGCCACCAAAGAGAATCTCATTGTTCAGGCGAGGATGAGCTCAGATGTACTCTTGGGATTGTGAAGAACAAAGACGGTCGGTCTATATCATTGACTGGGATTGGGGTCGACCTATATACCCTCACAGGGGAAACCATCCAGCTTCATTTCTTCGCGGCCCCGCCGGTGCAATTGGAATAAATTAAATTACCTCATTATTATCCGGGGTAGCGCATCAGCATTCTGGCAATATTAGCCTGATTCCTGCGGAGGCGTCTACTAGACGGCTCAGCCATGACCACTTAGGGTTGGTCTGTATAGAGTGCCGGGAATAACGACCATAAACGCGGTTAGCTGAAGCCTCAATCTTCCCGCGTTCGACGGCAAAATCACAACGGGATTGTGGGGTAATTTTCCCAGAGCTCTGTCGGCTGTTACGAACTCCTTAACCAGTTATTCTGTACTTGATACTAGCGAGAAGAGTATACAGCGCTTCAACGTCAAGGCTAATTGCAATGGCTAAGCTCAGTGAGCCTCACCGCCAACTTCTCCGCTGTTTTCTGCCCCGGACCGGTCGTCATGGTTTCTCCAGGCACACAAGAGGCGTAATTAGCAACAATAATTCTCCTTGTCGAAACCATGGCGCCTCATGACGGATTAGTACACCCCAAAGAATACGACATTAAGGACAGCAATGTGGAGCTGATCGGATCCGATCTGGACCATCGCGTCAAGTATAACTCCGCCGCCACCGAGCCTGCCTGGAACAACGGGAAGATCGGACAGGAACCCGGACTGTTCATCTGGCGAATCGAGAACTTCGAGGTCATTCCTTGGCCGAAGGAGCGAGCCGGCGAGTTCTACGACGGAGACAGCTACATTGTGCTGCACTCGTACAAAGTCGGAGACGACAAGCTGGGCCACGATATCTTCTTCTGGCTGGGAAACAAAACCACCCAGGACGAGGCCGGGACCGCCGCCTACAAGACGGTCGAACTGGACGAGTTCCTGCACGGGTCGGCGACCCAACACCGCGAGACGCAGCAATGCCCTTCGGACGAATTCTTGGCGCTGTTCCGCCATATCTCCATCCGGTCCGGTGGCGTGCGCTCGGGCTTCACCCATGTTGAGCCCGAGGAGCCAAAGGAGGTCCTCACGCTGCTTCGCATCTTCAAACATCCCAGCGCTGGACGCTCGATCATTGTACACGAAGTTGAGCCCACATGGCAAAGCCTTGATGACAATGACGTTTTTGTCCTGGACAAAGGCGATAAGATCTGGGTCTGGCAGGGCAGGAACAGCAGTCCCATGGAAAAGGCCCGCGCGGCCCAGGTGGTGAACGACATGACCCTTGCGAAGCACATTGACGTCGAGGTGCTCTCACAACTTGAATCCCGGTCGAGTCTCATTGTAGACTTGCTGGGCGGCGATGCAGAAGCGAAGCAGCCCAACTTTCAGTTTCGCGCTCCGCGGCCCGGACGCTTTGCCAGGGCAGCTGATGACCGGTCGACGCGGCCACGCAAACTGTTCAGACTCAGCGATGCTTCAGGCACACTATCCTTTGATCTTGTGAAGGATGGGCAGCGGGTCAGGAAATCCGATCTCGATGGCAATGATGTCTTCCTTTATGATTCCGTTGACAGGCTCTGGGTCTGGGAGGGCTCGGGAGCTAGCGCGCGAGAGAGGGCTTCATGGCTCAGAGTTGCCCAGTATTATATTCGCCAACTCCAAGAATCAGTCGCTGAGGCGTACCTCACTCCCATTGCCAAGGTTGTGGACGGACATGAGAGTTCGGCCTTTTTGAAAGCACTCGAGGTCTAGGCACGTTTGGGTGATAATGAATAGTCATATCGATACTTCGTGGGACTCACCGGCTTCATTGGCGGTTAGGCCATCTTCCAAAACTTGAAGTAACTCCCTCTTAAGAAAACTTGCTGAGGCAGTCATAAGCTTTTGCGCACGCGGTGCCCTTGTCTTGCCAATATGCTACCCGCCTGTCCTAGCGATGGCAATGGCGCGTGGATCTCTTCATGATGAGTTTCACCTTGTCGTATTCAGGTGAACAATCATACTTGCTTTGGTGTAGAAATCAACCAATACGCCGCACTTTCCTACTTTCCTCTATGAAGGAGTAGTATCTGATGTAGGAGCCTGTTGTTGACGGCGTCGGTGTGTCATACTTAATGGAATCAATACACATCCTTCGTCACCTGCATGGACTTCTAGCCAGGATGCTGGAACCGCCTACAGTTCGATCCAATAAGTAAGGTATTCCGCCTTTCTATTGCAGAACTCGAACATAGCACAGACCCTATATGTACATAGACAGTACCCCTTAACTACGCCGTTATCCCTGAGTCTTCCAGATAAGCGCCGCCCACCAATATAAAACCAATGAACAAAGAAATATGCACGGTCCAGAACGAGTGACTGAAATGGGCAAATTTCGGAAAGCGGGAGATGGCTTTTGGAGACAAGGTAGGGAGCCAAATCCTCGAGCTGAAAACTGAACCTGCTCTGGACCGAAGGTCACAAAGCATCGCAAAATAGCAAGACCGCCTCTCAGATGCAAATGCCTGTACAGTATTCCAAGCGGAGAAAGCAAAACACAAATGGGGAAGAAAAAGGACATCACTGCATAAGAACAAAGGAAATAAAATAGGACTGTCGTCGCTGTAACCACAAAAGCACGAGAAAATGCATGATGGCTCCATGTCTGGCACGGCCAGGTTCGCTTGAACAATGCACTCCACCCGTAGCAACTCCAAAAATGGCCATTATTAGGACGTAAGTATGAGTATGGTTTCAATCACCAGACTTGCCAGTCTCGGAATTAGTCGGATCACCCAGCGAAGGGTTACACCAGAGGTACCTAGCGATGCATGTGAAATTCGCCGGGGCGCAACATCGACTGAGTTTTGCTTCACCTCAGGTTGCGGATGACCTTTCTACCCCGAGCAAGGAATGGGCTAGGCATTTCATCTTTTTCGGGATCCCACACAGCAGGCGGATCACGCTCGGCAGGAGAGGACTTCAAGCCAGCTGCACAGGCTGCACGAGAATCGCTTGCACACCGCTTGAGATCATCGATCGGACGACCGCCAGCACGAGCTTGAGCTAGCTCCACGAGAGTCCTGCCGCCCATGTTGCGCTGCATTACAGCTTTGAACATCTCCTCGCCCCCTCCGTTCACTTTAGAGGGAAGTTGCTTGCCAGTCTTCCGTGTTGGTGACCCGGCATCGGCTGCCAAATTGGCCGAGGATGGAATCTTTGAGAGCCGTCGGTGAGGCGATCTGGCCTTGGGTTCTCCACTACGGGAGTCAGAGTGACCGGGGCCAGACATTTGGGGAAGCCTCGATTGGTTAGTTGGGAATAGCGGCGGTTGTGTGCTCAGCTTCTGCATGAGAGCGGCCGTGTTCTGACGTAGTAGTGGTCGGGACGGGGCCTTGAAAGGGTCGGGCTTCACCTTGGGCCGAGTCGGTGAAGGTAAATCAGGGGTATCGTCTTCGTCGTCGGAGTAGACCAGAGTAGGCTCCCACTTGGCTCGCTTTCGCTCTGCTTCGGCGAAAATGTTCTTCCCCGAAGATGATGTCCGACGAGGTGACAGAGAAAGCGATGCAATAGACATGGGGGACGGCTCAGCCATCTGCACATCGACAGGCGACTCGACCACGGTTTTTGAACGATTGAACGGCGTGCGGTCTTTCTTCACCGGTTTGTTCCCTGGCGACTCCATGGACAACTGGCTAATATCAGTGCTGGAGGGGAAATCGGTGTCATCTGCATTGCTGGCTGATGACTGGGAGGCGCGAGTGCTGGATCGAAAACCGGAATCTTCTCTGAAGTTGTACCTCTTGTGCTTCTCGAGCTCCACGGCAACTCTTTCCTGTACTTCAGCTTCGAATCTCTTGCGAAGCTTGTCCAGCTCGTTTTGCACCTGGCGATCAATTTCAAGCCTCGCTTTGACTTCCCACTCTCGGCGGATAGAGTTCTCCAGGTCCGATTTGATCTGTTGTTTCTCCTTCTCCAGTTTTGCGTAAGCCTGCTCGACATCTCGTGCCTTCTGTAGAGTAGATTCTTCCCGCTTGCGGAGAGACTTTCCAAGGTCAACAACTTCCTTCTCCTTGCGCAGAAGACGAATTATGGGGAGGTTGATCAAGGCTGCCGTATCGGGCCGGTGGTCAGGGTTCACACGCAGACAGCTAGCGATGACGTTCTTCAATTCTGGCGAGTAGAAATCGGGCAGAGGAGCGAATTTTCCCTCGCGAATCTTCTGCACCAGTTGGATATGTGTACGGGCATTGAACGGTGGCTCTCGTTGGCAAAGCTCGTACATAATGCAACCGACTGCCCAGATGTCAGAGCGCAATGTGTACTTCTCAGCAGCACATATCTCCGGCGACATGTAGAAGGGCGTGCCGACATAGGTGGACGCAAAGTCATGGGAGTTCATCAGCTTCGACAAGCCGAAGTCTCCCAGCTTGACCGTGTTGTCACTGCCGAGGAAAATGTTTTCCGGCTTCAGGTCGCGATGCAGGATTGTCATCTGAGCCTGCTTTCCCTTCAATCCGGATGACTTTGGGGCAGGGCCAAGTATGTTGGACCCTACGTCAGCCGCGTCGGCTCCATAGTGACATCGGTAGAGAGCTGTCACCAACTGGGACAATATACGCCAAACGAACTCCTCCTCCGCGTATTTGTTTGTTTTCTTGAGGTTCTTGATGACCATACTGAGATCACCCCCGCCACAGTACTCCATGTACAGATAGAGGTCCTGACTCGCTTTCAGATGTTCGCGATGGTAGTAGGCGACAATGTTCGGGTGTCGGAGGGAGCTTAGGATGTTGAACTCGGCTGTCAGTTGTTCCCGCTCCTTCTGGGACATTTTGATGTAGTTGATCTCTTTGCGACATAATATCTAATCATTGGACGTATTGTAAGAGCGCTGATCCAGCTGCAGGTTGAGGGCAACTCACGAAGCCATCTGTTTTCCTCTTCACTTTGCGAATTATGCCGAATGAACCACACCCTGAGAGGAACGAAACCATCAGCTTCCCAAGCTGGGGGAATGAGTTGCAGATGTAATAGCCTACCAATCTTCTCCAGTATCTCATACTTATCTGCCTCTGCCAGCGCGATTGCCATTATGCCTTTCGTGTACCGGACCGCAAGTTGTCAACAAGTAATAGAAAGACTCAAATAGAAATCATCAAAGACAGCGGTAGCAGTGATCAGCTCATTTATAGGTGGTGAAGGTATGGTGGGCTGCAAATGTCTCAGACCTGCGTGGTTAGTAGGAGATGGTGGTTGTTGGAATGGGTATGGAGTTGGGGGAATAGATTTAAAGAAGCGATCAGTATGCAACGGGTGAACAGACTGGGGATGTTTAGGTGAAGCTCCGTTGCTGAGCAACGGAAGATGCCACGGGCTGTCTCTGGATATAGTAGGCGGTGAGGTTGAAGGCGGTGACTCGCGAACATCATCGCTGAACGTCTTAGTCATTGTGATGTTGGAAGGATCACTTGTGAAGACCACAACCGGACTCTTCTCCATCACTATCCCCTAGTCTGTTCTTCCTCGATAGCGGTGTCTTGGATGGCAAACACTCCAATGCGAGGCATACCATCAATACATCGGCCCTGGCGTAGGATATCTGCAAGGATCTATATAACGTCCCCCTTTCCGTGGCAAGCAGCACGTGATCGCTCTTATCGATAACGGTTGCCTTGTTGGTCCCGTCGATACTTTGGCAATTTCTCCAGACATTCAAGTTCACCCCACCCCGAGGTCGAATATATATAAACTCCCACACATTCTCTCTATCGGCACCTTCTCCCACAATATCGTGATGCCCGAACGGACGGTTCTTCGCAAAGATCAATTGGAGATCAGCCTGCACAATGAGCAAAAGCTGATCAAGGAGGGTACCATCAAGGATGATAACCCTCTGGATCTGAGTGAGCCGTTCCGGGAGCTCTGCAATGCTTGCCGTAAGGGGGACCTCAAAGTTTGTCAGGAGAAGATCACTGAAGGGGTCAATATCAATGCTCGGGATCCCTATGACTACACCCCCTTGATTCTGGTAAGTGCATGACGGCAACACGCCCTTCCCGCATCCAAGTCGCCTCCGGTGGACACGCGAGTAACGGAACGCCTTGCGACATCTATAGGCAAGTCTTTGTGGCCATTATGAAGTTGTACAGCTACTGCTCGAATCTGGTGCATTGTGCGAGCGAGATACCTTCCAGGGAGAAAGGTACATTGAACTCCCCTCTTTCCCTATAGATCCCACTGATGCATTAATGCCTCAGATGTCTATATAACGCCTTGAACGACCGCATACGAAACTTACTTCTAGAGTATGACTACTCTAAATCAACCGATCCCCTTCAGCCTCTCGCAGCCCACATCTCCTCTCTCCTCACCCGCGATCAACCGAAAACATCCGACATTGTGGTAACAGCCTCGGAGGAATCCCTCTACCTACACAAATTCATATTGGCGGCGCGGTCACCCTACTTTCAAAATAAACTGGCTACGGCCCCGGAGACTACAACATGGAAACTCCCCAGTATGATCCCACCCCAAGCTTTCGGCGCGGCGATCAAATATCTGTATCTTGGAGAAGCTCCTCGGGAGCTGCGGAGTGGACCGGGCACCGGGTTCACTGAGACTGAGGTCTTTGCTGGGCTTGATAAAATCGCCAAGCATCTGGAAATCCAAACTCTTGTTGACAGTATCATCGACAGTGGGGATAGACGCCTGGCACGGCAGAGGCGAACAATGGAAATTGCTAAGGGAAGAGATCAATTGGAGGGGTGGTTCAGAGAGAACGTGCTTCGCAATAAAATGGTCGTCGATACGTCCAAGGTTGATGATGTGAAATGGGATCGCGACAATGCAATATTCGCCGACGTTCTGCTCCGTGCGGACGAGCTACCGGATGAGGACGAGGAAGACAACGACGTTCAAGAGGAGTCAGGCAAAACCAACTCAGGTTCACTGCCTATTGGGCTCCCTGAAACTGTCAGCAGGACAAAGCAACGCTCCCATAAATCCGTTCTATTTCCTTGTCACCGGGCAATGCTTCTGCGCTCGGAGTTCTTCCAAACCATGTTCACGTCTCCCTTCCGTGAAGCTCATATGAAGGATCACCTCAACATTATCAACGTCGACTGTTCTCCGGATGTGCTCGAGATCATTCTCACGTTCCTCTACACGGAAAGAGCCGACTTTTCCCTCGATATTGCAGTCGATGTTTTGTTCGCAGCCGACATGCTCTTTATCGAGAAACTCAAGACCAAAGCTGCCGTCGTTATCAGCACGCTTGGTAGCGGTAACATGTCGCAGGCAGAGGCGGCGAAGACGCGAGGTACGCAGGACGACGATTTGGATATCTATGCCATTATCCGCGCTGCGTGGATGACCCGTGTCCAGCGGTTGGAAGAATTCGCCGCCCGATACCTGGCTTATCGCTTGGAGGCACATATCGATTCGCCCGAGTTTGCCGAACTGATTCAAGAGTCTGCATCTCGCATTCAGAGCCGACAAGAAACCGACTCCATCGAATTGTTGGATGACATCCGGTTCTACCTGGGCGAGCGGTTCAGGCTGCGGTTCGATGACGCTGGTATCGAGGAAATGATGGAGGAGGAGCGCCAGCAACAACAGAACGGGGATGCAAATGGTATTAACGAGAGTATTGAGGTGGTTGCGGACAAAGTCGAAGCAATCGATCTTTCGAAAGGCTCGTCCGATGGCATTGAAGAGGCCAAAGCTATGCCTGAGCAACACCTTCAGAAGACACAGGGCGATGATCGTATCATCCGGACTCTGAATGGAGACATCGCCGTCGATGAGTTCGACAAGGATGCAATGAATTACGAAATTTTGATGGAAAAACTCGACCGAATTCTGGAGAACCTGAACTTGGATGCTTAGCATGTCAAGTGAGTTTCCAATGCCTTCCGGAGCGAGACTGACAACGAATGACGAATCTACGCTAAGTATATACAATCCAACGAACATACAACTATATATAAATAGACTGGTGAATATGTTACCTCTTTCGCTTCAATGCAATGTTGTTGGCATCTGTGTACTGGGCTGCGCTCGCCTTCCTATCCATTGGGGGATAAATAAAACACGTCTACGATGGCTACTTCACAGTTGACAGACGTGGGAAGACTGCAACACGGGTGTTGCTTCTTACTGGTCACTTGCGTCGACTCAATCATCTCAATCATAATGTTTAGGGGGACCATTCGAAAATCCCTCATAGAATTAACCTCCAGCTCGATGTATATCGTGGGATACTACTAACGGAACCATCAGGACCGTCACACCTTCCATCCTGACTTCACCATCATCCAGCCCAGTGAAATCAATACAACTTGATCAAGTCACACGATGGCTTACGTGTATAATACTGAGCGTGTCTGGAGGATTTCCGGCCGAATATCCACGTCGCAGGATCCTACCAGATGCATCTACACCAGCATCTCATCTATAATAGTCATATTATCATACGCATCCCGTACCGACGGGACGACAATTCATCTATGTCACACCACCACCACAGCGTGCTCACACCCTGAGCGACCCGACCCGCAGATAGTCAGGTCAGTGCGATACTTTTGAGTGGAACTGGGTGGGATTTCTGAGCCAGCAGCGTGTGGGTGCTGTCTGTGCTCGGCAAAGTCAAAACAAAATTAAGGAAAGGGAAGGTAGGCGATGACTGTATCGTAAATCTCAATGCCACGAACCTCTGGACCCATGGATTTCCAACATTCGAGAACCGCCAGGCGCGGCGAGACGTGTGACATCTGGATGCATATGGGGCTGACTACCAGATACACCAGATGCGGCAAAAGCAGGTTCTGGATCGGACGGCGTAGACAGGGCTTGCAGTCGACACGAAGATCATCCTGGATCCTCCACATCCCGGTGGTGGCTTATGGAGTACGCAGCACTCTGATGTGACGATGGGGCCAAATGGATTATGACCGCCGGATCATACAGCCAGTCAGCCTGGCTGGCGGTTGCTCATCATCTCCCATACATCCACCATCCGTGCAATCGTACATGAAAGCCTGAGGCACGCGGGGGCGATCGAAGCGAAGAAGAAAGCTAAAACGACCATGAAAAAGAAAAGAACAACAGCGCATGGAAGATCAAAGCGCCCGTTGATGATCATCCAGCATGATTGGGTGATTTAGCCTGGGACTTTAGCTGGCCATCGGGCATTTCCGTTGCGGATCACCCTTGGAGCGATGCATGCGCTATGTTCTCGGGGTTTTTACATGCCAATGAGATCACTGTCCGGCGATTTGGCCACGCAGAGAGGGCGATGTTGGGCGTCAATGGGTGGCCACCGCTACTCGCCTGTTGGACCATAGTCCACCCTCCTTCGCTCCTCCTGGAGCTAACTTTATTCTCGGGTCCGGATTGCCACGACATCCCCCCATCGCTTGCATGCGTGGATAGTGTTGGATTTCCGACTGCGGACATCGGTGGCATTGGTGCATCCACGCTGATCGACACGCTGGTCGCCTCGATCGGGCGTGCGGGGATAGCGAAGTGATTGGTGCGATAATTCTGCGAGCTGGACGCCGTTAACGCCATCTGGGCGATAATGCTGCTAGTTACCGATGACTTTGGAGAGTGATTCAATGATCGCTCTATGATGTTCACCATGTTGCTTCACGATGCAACATCAGACCGACTTCACCATCGTCTGAGTCGTTCAACCGCTGCATTTGGGTGCGTGGAGATTGCCTCTTTCGGTTTGATTCGATCTCCACAACGTGGTGGGGAGGGAAAACGAAAGGAGGGGCTCAGGCTTTAAGTCCCTGTCTATACTAGGCATGACTGCTGGGGTTTTCGTGAGAGCTAGTTCCCTGTGATCGGATGGCAGTAGCGTGTCTGTATGGCAAATCATCCGGGCTGCGCAAAATTACACTGGAAGAACGATGTGGCTGCTGTGCCAAGTCAGAGGTGCCCGTCAGATGCAGCATCCATGGTGGCTTATGCTGGGATTGTACCCTACACCGCCATGAGCCTGTCCCATGTGGTGCAATCCCTCAACCTATATACAGTCCTGGAAATGTATGTGATTCCTCGCGTGGGGAATGCATCGGGGCACTAGTTGTTCAAAGCAGGGGAGAGACTGCGCCGATATTGCATTGTTGCAGTCAAACGATATGTCGGGGCTGCAACATTTGTCGAGAGGTGATCGCTTAGGACTTGGATGCGGTTCCTTTTGCCCAGGGGTAAGGACTGGAAGATCAAATGCAGCTAGGTTGGAATCCAGCACCCAGACGCTGGTGGCGAAGCTGCTGGATATGACCTGATTGACCAGGTGATGCACATCGAATGCGGGCGAGCGCACCGCCCATGCCATGATCTACCGGCCTGAAAGTAGGAACCGGAATATTACCTCGCACTAAGCTCCTTTCAATCCAGGATTCTGCGACGCGTGGCCGCAAGCATATTACCTATTCTCTGGTATCATACGTCGACCCTAGACCACCCAAAGCTCATTTCCTGTAGGCAGCAGATGGCCAAGGCTGTCTGATGTTTCGCCCAAGAAACTCAAAAGAAAGAACTATGGCGAGACTGACTGGCTCTAGCGTTGGAGCCGGTCAAACCAGCTTAAGCCGAACAAGTCCGCAAATACGTTCGACAAAGTTCTCGTTTGACCGGGGAGAAATCCAACGGTTGACCGGTCGACAGTGTGAAACGACGCTATGACAGGAAGTGATCGATAAGCGAGCTCTTAGCACGAGGGCCAGCAACGGCGCAAACTAAACCCAAGCCTCATCATGGCTCCGTCCGTCCGTCCGTCCGTAGACGATCATTGCACGGCCAAGAGGGGGCGTGGGATGACAATGAGGTGATGCTACTGTTGAGTTTGATATCCATGTTGCACTCCTGGCGTTGAACGCTTCCTTCGATCTGAAAATGACGCGGCACGTCAGTCTTACGAGGTCTCATCCCACGATACGGGCACAGACGAGTTGAGCTAGTCGCGTATGAGCGAGCGGCGCTACGGAGGATTATGCGCGACTGGACGATTTCGTACCCTCCTCCGTATAGTTGCCACACAATGGCCAGCGATCCTGCTGGGCGCAACACGGGCCCTGATCCAATGCAGGAGACCCTGCACACTCTAGGAACCAGATGGCCGAATCTAACCGCCCGACGCCGCCTACTGAAGGCCCCCTCGCTATGGGAACACTTTTCTTTTTGGTACTCTCGAGCATCAATGAGCTGGCCATGGTGCATGGATGATTGCTGGCGTGAAACCAACAGGGCCCGTGAGAGAGAGGGATCTGAATGGAGGGATGGCGATGTACGATGCATGTCACTCGCAGTTCGAGGAGCCCATAAATCCGCCGGAGAGCTGAGACCGCCATCTGCACTCCTGATCACATTACTGCAATTTACCCCCCACCGTCAATGCAGGTCGGATTATTCGATCATTAGTCAGATTGAGTCATCGAGAAGGTGCCATAGTGACTGCATGCGTCTCTTCTGCCTGGAGTCTGCAAGAACGTGGCCGGTATAGATCCGTACCATCACCGGTCAGTTGTCTGGCAGCGCCGTCCAATCTGACCCTAACGCAAGCGGACTGCGGCTGGTTTTGCGTCGACGCAGCTGGTATGACGAACTACCCATGTACGGAGTAGGTGGTGCTGAGGAAGATATCCGTCAGCGTTGCAATACAACGGTTCGGGCGTGCCGAAGTACATACAGTCATTACACTGTGGACATCCCACGCAGCTTACTCGAAAAGAGCCTACCGGACAGATATCCCGTAGTGCATATCAGTGCGACTCGCTGTATAAAACGGCGTTGTTAGCACCACCACACAACCTAGACTAGCTACCTCGTCTAGATACTCGCACGAGACGAGGCACAAAAGCAGGAAATGGATCCCCACCCCTGTCGGGCCAGTGGCTCAGTGAAACAGATGGTTGATGAACTCCTAAGGCTAGTCGCAAGTCCGGTGTCGATCGTGGCGACCTACGGGTCGCCTGGGCTGCTCGTTGCAAGCGGAGGGTGGATGGGATGAACGCGACACGCGCGAGGTGACGAGGACGAAGAGGAGAAAGGGGAGCCACTGGCTCCGCCCCCCAGCCTATCGGTCAGCAACCTTTTTCTGGAGAAGTTCTGTGACTGGCGCTGCACATCACTAGCCTGATTGCGGTATGGCCCCGGGTGTCAAGCCGGCGATCTGCTGGTCGTGACTCGTGCTTTACTAGGTGCGGTAATCGATACGATCATAATCGCCGGTGGATCTTACCACGCGACGCGTGCTCAGCGCTTGACTAGGAGTATGGAAGATGGATATACAAAGACAAGCAGCCAAATGCGTATTAGGGAGTCGACGGACATCGAGGGGTATACTCCGTACAGAATTCCTTCTGTACGAGGGGATCGAGGAGTGGGCCAAGGATCAAATCCCTGAAGGCACCACAGTTAATAATATGACATCCTTTGCACACGGAACGAAGCACGAAGGGGAAACTGGTAAGTTCTGACGCAGTTATGTCCGGAAGAAGACCGGAGCGAGACTTAAGTCGCCGGTTTTGTGGGGGCTGATTGCCCTCTGCGACTTGTGGTTCACGGATGGAAGGATGAATGTCTCTAACGGATTCGTGATGGTTTCGACGCGCGCGGAGTGGGATGGCGAGGCTCAATCACTGGGGCTAAGTCGGTGGACGGTAATCAAACGCTTGGTGGGATGACCTCATCGTTGTGATCGTCCCTGCTCAACGCCGCGCATGCTCGATGCCACCCACCCCCCCAGTCCATACCAGACGCAACCTGGGCAACGGATCTAGGCATTGGCCGAGTGGAACGGAGGTAGGAGGCAGATTGAGACAGAGCGATGCCTAATCTCCGTTATGTGGAGACCCAATATAGCATCATCATTA